AAATTAATACATGAATTCAGCAAAGTAGCAAGATATAAAATCAACATCCACAAATCAAATGCATTCTTATACATCAGCGATGAATCCACTGAAAGAACAACTAGCAAAACTATCTCATTTACAATAGCCTCAGAAAAGTAAAATATGTGGGGATCAATCTAATAAAAGAGGTGAAAAATTTCTACAATGAAAACTACAAAACCCTAAAAAAAGAAATTGAAGAATACTTGAGAAGATGAAAAGATCTCCCATGCTCCTGGATAGGCAGAATTAATATTGTCAAAATGGCCATAGTACCAAAAGTTTTATACAGACTTAATGCAATTCCTATTAAAATCCCAAATAGCACTCTTCATAGAAATAGGAAAAGCAATCATAAAATTTATTTGGAAAAATAAAAGACCCAGAAGAGGTAAAGCAATTCTTAGTAGGGAACATCTCAATATCACACCTTAAACTATACTGCAGAGATATAGTAACAAAACAGCATGTTATTGGCACCAAAATAGAATTGTAGACCAATGGTACAGAATAGAAAACACAAAGACAAACCCACATAAATATGGCTTTGTCATACTAGACAAAGGTGCCAAAAACATTCACCTGAGAAAAATAGTCTCTTCAACAAATGCTGCCAGAAAAACATGAAATCCATATGGTGCAAAATGATAAAACTTCTATTGCTCACCCTGAACAAAAATCAACTCAAACTGGATCAAAGACTTAGGCACTAGAAAAGAGACCCTGCACTTAATAGAATAAAAAGAAGTCCCAAATATTCATGATATCAGCCTAGGATTAACTTCTTTAACAAGACTCCTAAAGCAGAAGAAGTAAAGTCAAGAATCAATAAATTGGGATTTAAATGCAAAAGCTGTTTCTTAGCAAATGAAACAATTAACAATGTGAAGATAGAGCCTACAGACTGGGAGAAATTTTTTTTTTTACCACATACACCTTCGATAAAGCATTAATCTCAAGGATATATAAAGAACTCAAAAAACTTAACAAGAAAACAACAAATAATCCAATCAATAAATGGGCTAAGGAACTGAACAGACACTTCACAGAAGAAATACAATTGATCAACAAATATATGAAAAACTATTCAACACCTCTAGCTAGTTTTATTCAATATCCTTCAGATAAGTATGGTTGATCATGCCATATTCATGTGATAGGTCAGAACAAAACCAAGAAGATACCAGATATTTTAAATAAGTTAAACATAAAATTGAATGTAATCTTTAGGTAAGTATGATGTTTATAGAAAAAAATAAAAGATGTTTATGCTAGGTAAAATAAGATAGGCACAGAAAGATAAACACCATATAAATATAATTATATGTGGAATATATAAGAGAAGGACTCACAGAGGTAGAGAGTAAAACGATTCCACAGCAGGGGTGAGGTGGGTTAGGAATAAGAACAAAAGTGCAATCCTTGTAAAAGGGGACAGGTTTTCTGTCATACAGGAGGAATGATTTCCAATGGTCTAAGGCATAGTGTGATGATTCTAGTTAATGCTAATGTATTATGTTTTTTAAAATCAAATAAGAATATATCTTAAATATTCTCTTCAGATAAAAGTGATTTTAAAATTTCAGAATAGTGCATCACATAGAAATGGAAAGTGGATAAATGATTTCTTTCACAGGTAGGAAGAGTGAATGAAGATGTTGAGAGAGAGAGAAATTGGGAAAAACTGCTAATGATCATGGAGTTTCCTTTTTCTGTGACGAAAATGCTCTAAAATTAATTGTGATGGTAGTGGCACAACTCTGAACATGGTCAAGCACGTTGTAGCATATACTTGGAATGGTTGAATTGTTGTTATGTGAGGTATAACTCAGTAATGTTGCTTTAAAAAATGAGGTAATGTACATTCTGAACTTTTTTCTCTGACATTTCATCAACTGCACTATGAGTCTCTTACTGTAGTACCCTGGTTGTACAACCACTGAAATGAAAAGTTGTGCTGCAATTGTGTACAATGAATGAAAATGCATTCTGCTATCATATATACCTAATGAAAATACATTAATTAATTAAAAAACCCATTAAAAAAGAAAAAAATTAAGACACTCCCAGAAATCAAAAGCTGGAAGAATTCAACAATACAAGTTTGCTCAAAAAATACTAAACAAGTTCCTTCAGATTTAAATAACACAAGAAAATAAGTGAAGTCATTAAAAAAATAAAATAAAAAAAAATCACTAGTAGGACTAAGGATATAGCTCAGTGGTAGTGTTGGCCTACCACACTGAGGCCCTGGGTTCAATATCTTGCACTGCAGAATTAAAAATAAATAAATTAATTAAATTAAAAACAATGGTAAATGTCTGTTCAGGTCCTTGGCCAATTTATTGATTGGATTATTTTTTTTTCTGTGTGTGTGCTTAGCTTGTTGAGTTCTTTATATACTCTAGAGATTAGTGCTCTATCTGATGTGTGAGGGGTAAAAATTTGCTTCCAGGATGTAGGCTCCCTATTCACCTCACAGATTGTTTCTTTTTCTGAGAAAAAAAAAACTTTTTAGTTTGAATACATCCCATTTGTTGATTCTTGGTTTTAATTCTTGAGCTATAAGCTTCTTATTAAGGAAGTAGGGCCTAATCCCATGTGATGAAGATTAGGGCCTATTTTTTCTTCTATTAGACACATAGTCTCTGGTTTAATTCCTAGATCCTTGATCCATTTTACGTTAACTTTTGTGCATGTTAAGAGATAGGGATTCAATTTCATTTTGTTGCATATGGAATTCCAGTTTTCCCAGCACCATTTGTTGAAGATGCTATCTTTTCTCCAGTGCATGCTTCAGACACTTCTCAGAAGAGGATATACAATCAATAAACAAATATATGAAAAAATGCTCAACATCTGTAGCAATCAGAGAAATGCAAATCAAAACTACTCTAAGATACCATCTCACTCCAGTAAGAATGGCAGCTACTATGAAGACTAACAACAAGTGTTGGCGAGGATGTGGGGTAAAAGGTACACTCCTACATTACTGGTGGGACTGCAAATTGGTGCAGCCAGTTGGGAAAGCAGTATGGAGATTCCTTGGAAAACTGGGAATGAAACCACCATTTGACTCATCTATCCCTCTCCTCGGTCTACATCCAAAGGACTTAAAAACAGATTCTACAGGGACACAGCCACATCAATGTTTATAGAAGCACAATTCACAATAGCTAACTTTGGAGCCAACCTAGATGTCCTTCAGTGGTTAAATTGATTAAAAAATGTGACATTTATACACAATGGAATATTACTCAGCACTAAAGAAGAACAAAATAATGGCATTTGCACGTAAATGGATGGCATTAGAGAAGATTATGCAAAGTGAAGTTAGCCAATCCCCATAAAACAAATGCCAAATATTTTTTTTCTGATATAAGGGGGGAGACTCAAAGTGGGATAGGGAGGGAGAGCTTGGGAGGAAGATTATTTCTAGATAGGAAAGAGGGGTGGGAGGGAAAGGGAGGGGGAAGGGGAATAGCAAGGATGGGGGAATGTAATGGTCATCATTATACAAAATTTATGTAAGAACATTTGAAGTTGGTGTTAACATACCTTATATACAAACAGAGATATGAAAAATTGTGGTATATATGTGTATTAAGAATTGTAATGTACTTAAAAAAGAATACATGTATAATGGCATATTTTGGCATAAACATACTTTATATAAAGAGTTAGGAAAACTTGTGAAACTTGTGCTGTAAATGGGTAATAATGAGTGTAATACATTCCACTATTTTCATGTATGAAAAATAAATAAAAAAGGGTGAAGGTTGCTACACATATAAAATAAAATCTAGTATATTGAATTTTAAAAAATGAGGTATTGCATTTGTTCATTAGCTTGACTTAATCATATGTGTAACAATACCATCATGTACCCCATAATATAAAATGTCAGTTTAAAATATAAAATATTTTTTGGGACATGGTGTCTCATGCCTGTAACACCATCAGCTTGGAGGCTGAGGCACAGGATCATGAGTTCAAAGCCAGTGTCAGCAACATGATGAGGCCCTAAGCAACTTAGCTAGTTCCTGTCTCTAAATAAAATATAGAAAATGCTTCAGATGGGGCTCTGTGGTTGAATTCTTGGGGTTCAGTAACCAGTATCAATAAAATAAAATTAAAATCCATTAAAAACAAAATACATTAAAATAAATAAATATCTCTTGTTTGGATAGAAATGACCTATTGTCAAATCTTACCCTTCCCATCTTGCTCTCATCTCCTTACAGATACCCTACCCAAGGGGTAGGATTCCTGTTCCTCACATTTGAGACTGAGATTCAGCCACTGAAACAAAACTGGTCATTACTCAGAAATGGACAGGCAGGAATGAAAGTGTAGAATCAAGTCAGGACTATGGCCATGCGTGGGACATCCTGTTCCCTCCCTGAGCCTTCTTCACAGTGACCCATGGATTGTCTGTGACACATGCTGAGTGGCTTGGGAGTGACAGACATACTGGTGCAATTTGATTCTGCATAAGCTACCACAGATTCACAAGGGAGGGACAGAAACATGGCTGTCTCTGAGGAGACCCCACAACAACAACCATAGCAGGTGTTTCTTGGTGTGGTCAGAATTGTTTCCTGTCATTAAAGAGATCTTGGAGGATAGGCACCAGGAGAGGGCACTGTGGGGTGGCCCAGCCCTGGAGGTTCACGGAGATACAGTGACATCTTACCAGAGACACTGAAGATCCTGGAGCTGACAGAGATGATGGAGTTCAACAGATCTTACTCTCCTGGGCAATGGAGGATAGTAAATTCAAGTTTCTGATTCTCAAGAAATCTAAGGCAGGAAATTTTTATTCCCACAGCTGAACTCTTCAGCAGAGGGCTTCAGGAGTGTGCAGAATCCAGGACAGGCCAGATATGGCTGAGGAGAGAGGCAGGTGCAGAAAGCAGATTTGCATTGAGGACTTCCTCTCTCTGAGACAAGGAGGGAGATAAAAGCAATCTGGAGGAGCCAGGCCCAGTGCTAGAATCTGAGCAGGGAGTTCTCTGGGGCACTTCCACCATGGCCTGGACTCTGCTTCTGCTTACCCTCCTCAATCAGGGTAAAAGTGTGACATTTGCTGAGAAGGGTTCTTGGGGACATCTGGGTTGATGTTTTCCCTCCTCATGCTCAGGTTAGGAGACCAAGCATTGATTCAACCTAGAGTGTGTTTCCCTCTTTCCAGGTTTCTGGGCCCAGTCTGCTCTGACTCAGCCTCCCTCAGTCTCTGGAACTCCTGGACAGTCAGTCACCATCTCCTGTGCTGGAACCAGCAGTGACATTGGGAAATATAAACATGTGTCCTGGTTCCAAAGTCATCCAGGAACAACCCATAAACTCATGATTCACGGTGTTAGTAGTCGGTCCTCAGGGATCCCTGACCGCTTCTCTGGCTCCAAGTCTGGCACCACAGCCTCTCTGACCATCTCTGGGCTGCAGCTGGAGGATGAGGCTGATTACTACTGCTGTTCATATGCAGGCAATTACATTTACCACAGTGGGGCAAGTTGAATGAGAAGTGAGACCAAAACCTGTGCAAAGCATAGAAGCTGTGTCTTGCTCTGAAGATGCTTCCTCAACTTGGTACAGAGATTTCTTCCTGCAACATGAACTAGAAATTTAGTTTCTCTCAGCTCCTCTACTTTCTCATAGCAAAATAACACACAAAGTGTAGCCCCTGTTTTTAAGTTCTTGGGACAGTGACAGCTTACTTTGCTCTGGTGATGTGGTCTCTCTAATCCTTTATCTAATGAAAGAGAAGGTTAAATCCATGCCTATAGATGCAATTCCTCCAGTTCTCAGTGAAATCACAAGTTCCTCAGGTCAATGTATGTGAGTTTTCTCCTAGTTAGGATGGCTGTTAGGTAAATGTCTCCTTTTTTCATTAATGAAAGAAATATTTGGAGGGTGAGAAACTCATTCTTGGGGATTCTCAATTTTTATGAGTTCCACAGTGTGCAACCAAATTCCTAGAAGGAACCCCAGTTAGAATGAAAGATTAATTCCATATACAGACATATGATCCTCAAATTACAGTGGAATAACATCCTGACAAACCCTTGTAAATAAAAAATACAATTAAAAAAGTATCTTAATACAGCTAAGCTACTGAATGCCATTGCTTAGTAACCACATACACTATGGAATATAGGGGTTTTTTGCCCTCATGATTACAAAGCTTACTGGAGCTGCAACTCCCCCAAACCTCAGTCAAGGTTCAATACACATGAAACTTCCCTGGGAAAAGATCAAAATTGAAAACTGGAAGTATGTTTTCTATCAGATGCCTATCACCCTCCCACCATAATAAAGTGGAGAAATCTTAAAGTCAAGCCATTGTAAAGTGGCCACAATATTGAGAATGGATATGAAAAAACATAATGTGAATTTTACTCACACACAAACACTCACATACACACACACACACACACACTTGTATTTGACTATATTTTCAGGTATTCTTTGAACAAATGGGTACAGGCCCCAGATAACACAAGATGGTAATCAACCTTCATCAACTTGCCAGAATTTTTCCAATATTAACAATGAAACGTCCACTTTCTGACATCTTACATGCCAACCCCAGTAAATTTCTATATCTTCCATTGCACTTTGTGTCTTCTGGATGTGAAGATTCAAAGTGCCTCAACATCTTTCCATGTTCTCCTCAGTAATTAAACTATATATGCACAAATTTTTGAAAAATATGTGAAAATAGTTACTTTCTATATGGCAATTTGAATGTTTGAAGTTTTCATATTTCAAAATGCCTACCAGTGTTTCACTCTTAAATGCCATAGGGGACTCAGCTCTCAGGGCAATTCCCATTCTCTCCAGGGAATTTCCTGGCTAAGAGCCAAGGATACATTCTTGCCTCTTCCTTGGACCTCTTAGGAATTCAGTTGCATCTTTCCTTTTTATCCACCTTCTGCCTGGTTCAGCCCTGGACTTGATGGAGGTGCAAAGAAGAAGGTCCAGGTTTCCACTTGAGCTTCATCCAAGCAGCATGAGGTTACAGTGCTAGAGCATTGGATCTCTTTATCTTTTCATTTTCTTTGTTCATGGTTTCAGGGAGATTTTCCAACACCAAAATAGGAGCTTCCTTAATCTTGTCTTTATATATATATATATATATATATATATATATATATATATATATATATATACATACATACATACATATAATCTCTACCTCCCACAACGGAATATTACTCAGCCTCCAAAGAAAATGAAATTATGGCATTTCAAGGTAAATGGATGGAACTGGAGAACATAATGCTATGTAAAGTAAGCCAGTCCCCCAAATCCAAAAGCCAAATATTTTCTCTGATAAGTAGATGATGATCCATAGTGGGGATGAGGGTGGGTAGAAAGAATAAAGGAACTGTGGATTGTACAGAGGGGTTGAGGGGAGGGGTGGGACTGTGGGTATGGGAAGGACAGTAGAATGAGATGGATATTATTACCCTATGTATATGGTATGATTACACTACTGGTGTGACTCTGCACCATATACAGACAGAGGAATGAGAAGCTGTGCTCCACTTGTGTACAATGTGTCAAAATGCATTCTACAGTCATGTATAACTAATTAGAATAAATTTAAAAACTTATTCTGCTAAACCAGTAGAAGAAGGGAATACAGTGGAGAGATGGGAAAAAGAGGGGGGGGAGATTCTGGGGAATTAAATTGATCAAATTATACTGTTTTATTGTGTACACACATGAATACATTATAACAAATTTCACTGTTATGTATACTTCAAATGAGCCAATAAACAGGAAAAAAAATAAATTATCTCTAGTTCTAATTTCATTCTCAGTCCCCGTTCTTTTCAATCAAGGAAAGGAAAATGATTCAGTTTTATTTCACTTTAATTTTAATATCCATTTGTGTGTAATGTACTATACCTTAAGAGGATTCCAAGAGGTAAATATATATTTTTTCCAGTGCCAGGATTGATGAAATAACTATATACAGTGCAACTAACACCAATAAATGGTGACTATGTCCATTTATTCCCATATCTTCTCATCTCAAGTAAGAGAATGAGTCTGAATAGGAACACTTCTAGGAGGGAGATGGTCACACCACACAGCACTCATGAGGCACAGTGTTCTCCTAATTGTATAGCATCAGCTCTGCCTGAACTCACTTTCCACAAAGTTTTCTTTGACTTTCTGCATAGAACAAACCATGTTAGGGAGGGACTAGCGGGCAGAGCCTTGGATGGGGAAAGGATGGAATCTGACCTGCTTCTCTAAATATCTCCACTCACTCATTCTGGTTCCACTCTGCCCCAGGCCCATCACTGCATCCTCAGGAACTGATACTTGTACTTGGCCTGATACTTGGCCTTCACTGCACACTGGGGATCTGGCTTTCTCATGTCTAAGTCCATGGACACTTTTCAGTGTGGTTCATGGCTTTAAATCTGTGTTTCCTCTCTATTATCCTGTTCCTGATACCCTTGTTTGTGAAACTAAACATCACAGTCCAGTTTTAGTAAGGCAGACTCAGTCAGTCAGCATACTGATTAAGTAACCCCCGAGGCATTTTCCAGGGGTATTGCAGACCATGGATAAAAAGCTCAGCAGCAATGCTTTGAACAGAATACAGCAACCACTATGGAACAGTGGGGAGGTGTCTGGAGATTGGGTTGGTGTTGTGACAGGAGCAGCGGGGGCGGGGGTGAGAAAGAAAGGAAACATTCTCATGGAATCTACAGGGAACATATTTTATATCTGACATTTTAATAAATGTAAAAATATTGCTTCCTTTCCAGGGTCTAGAGAGTTTTCAAGAAAACAGAAGATGCATTTAATGAGCCTGCATGTGGTTCTCTCCATGTCCCTGTGCTAACTTTCATGGAATTTTTGAACATGTGGTTTAAATTGTATTTGGTGAACCACAGATTAGACTATAATTTCTGCCTGTTTCTTCTTTTTTTGAGGACATTCATTGCCTACCTAATAGGTCACACGTTTATCCCACAGGTTACAGGTTTAGGGGAGGATTCTTCTCTCTTCATGTTCCCTTCTGTGTATTTCTTTGATTAGTTCACATTGTGAGGCCAACCAGGTGATTCTTGTTTAGCATCTATTCTTCTTTTTGTATTTTCCAGGAGAACTTCCATCTATACTATTTTCACACAGTTTGCCTTTAAACTTTAATTTCCTTCCTGTATTTTTCTAGACTTCCATTCACTTCAAAAGTGTTTGACCTTATTTCTGGGATGGGTTTTTCAATGGCTGCCTAAAGCCTTTGTCAGAAAAAACCCACATCTCTGCCATCTCCTTTTAACTTTAGCATGAATGTTGAGTTTTTCTTAATCCATTATATATTAAGATAGTTGGACTCTATCCAAGGCATTCCATTCTTATTTTATAAAACTCTGCATCTTATTCAGATCCTATCTGCATATTTGTGTTTTAGCAGGCAATCTGCCAAGTTGAGTTCAGGATACAAGTTCTAACTTTCCACGGGCAGGTTATCATTCCTATCTCAGGATAATTGATAAAAGCTTTGCTGCACTATCAGCATTTACTTTTTGTATACATTATTCATTTTCCCACCTGGGATCTGGTTGTGGACTACCCCCAATCCTGTTTTCAGTTTTTTTTTCATTTTCTTTAGCATCATATCCTTGTGTCTGCTGTAGAGAAGTGAGAGGAGAAGCTCAAAAGTGATCCAGATAGGTGCTGTTACAACCTCATCACTCTCAACAGTCTTCTTAATTCTATCATATCTCCGGTGTTCTTTCTTCTTCCTCTGGATAAACAATGTATATGTTCATTGATGAGCCCATCTGTACCTGTGTACATGTCTAGACTGAGTACCAAGAAGACACAGGAATTGGACCAAGGGAGCTTCATGCCATTCTCTTCAGAGTGCACTTCTAGAAGAAGACCAGGTCCTCCTTCCCTCTATTGTGATTGTTGTCAGTGGGACAGAATGTCCTGGAAGCTTCATTTTGAAAATGAACAGCAGAGAAACAAAAGAGACAAAATATGATTTCTCAATCCTGTTCTGAGCATGAGGAGTCAATTTCCTCAGGATGCATCAGTGAATATTGTAATTGTCCTGTGTTATGGGAGCCCCTATCCATCCCAGGGCTGCATGGAGTCCAAGCCAAGGAGAAAAAGAGACAAGGAGACAGCTCACCTCTGCATAGTGACACCTCAGAGTCCAGTATCCCTACCTTCCCTTTTATGATTCACATACAGGTGCTCCTGGGCATTCTGGGCAGATTTTCATTTTTAACTGCATGGATATTGAGAGAAACAAGAGAAAGTATACTTACTACATCTTACCTGCAAAAAAGAATAATGCTCATCCTATTTTCAAAATGCATAAACCAAATGATTTAGTATAAACCAAATAAATTTGAAAATACAGAGACTAAAGCGCTTTTCATAAATTTTCATGACAACCATCAGGAAGAAATAATTTCTCAGTGGTTTTATTTCTCCTGTATACCAAGTTTCATGTCAATTTTATCATGGACAGA